TATTCTCTATTCAGTAAAATACAGAACAACACTTTTGCATGATCTTCCTTGAATTGGCCCCAAATTATCGTGACCTCTCTCAAGATACCTCAGAGGCTCTGTGCGCCAGCCCCCCAGGACTACAGATGCACCTCCCTACCAGAGGGTCTCTCCTTTGTCTTTGCTCAGTGTCCTCCCGGCTGGAGTATTCGTACCTCTTTTTCCTTCTTCCTTTGCATTCCTGTCCATTCTGAGCCTTTTGTATCAGCTGACATGCAAGACTTGTAGTAAAATGTGTGGGATTCCTAATATCTACTATAAATATTAGTCCTTCTAGAGTTAGAAACCATGACCGATGGCCTGTGGATTTGTGTAAAGTTCCAGCCTGTCATTACCACCTTCTTCAATCACTGCTATAACATGGAAAAGCAGAGGCTTCCAAGATATTGGTAGCAACATCTACATAATGATGTCATTACTTACAAGAGCGAAGTGGATGGGTGGATTAATCTAGCTCTCAGATGCAGTGCTCTTTGAAGGCATAGTTGGAAAATCACAGAGTGAGCATCAGTAATGCATTGCATAAGAACAATCAGATCAACTCAACTACTTACGCTGATGCTCAGAGAAGAACAAAACTCAAGCAATCCTGTCATCAGTCACATGACCAGTTCTTTCTGATCATGCTTGCAAGGTCCACTGGAATAGTATTAGTAGACTCGTTCATCCTCAAGCACTGCGAATCTTTTATATCAGACAGCTTTATTCTCAGGAACTTTCTAACCAACATGTTAACGGGCAAGATTTTGGAATTTGTCTACATGTGGGAAGGTGTGGTATAGAGTGTTAAAGCTTGATGGCTTGGATTTGAATCCTGGCCCTGGCACAGACAACTTTTGTTATTCGGTACAAGTTACTAAGCCCCAGGTCTCAGTTTCACAATTGGTAAAATAAGAGTATTTTCTTCATTGGGCTGCTATGCAATTTCATACAATTTGAAAAGCTCCTGAGCATAGTGTCTGGTATGTGGTAAATACTCAATAGATGTTAGCTCTAGTGATAATGGTGATAACGCAGAAGGTATGCTGAAATGAGATGTCAGGTGGGAGCACATCGCGGCTGCTGGCTGAGTCAGTGTGGTTGTTTTGGGGTCCCAGTGCTTTTCTCCTTTCCTCTGTTAGTGGAAGCAAATGGCAGGTTGCTCTGCCTTCTCATCTCACCTGAACAACAAGGAGGCTTTTCTTTCTAAGTGTAGCACTCACCGCATCCAGTAGATGTTCATTGATTGCCCACTTTGAGCCTGGCCCTGTGCTGTGGCCCAGAAGTGAACAGCCCTTCCCTGAGCACCTTATGACCTAGTGAAGGAGACATACACATAAGCCCATAATTTTACTGTCATATACTAAGCACTAAGAGAAATCACATTTATTTAAGATAAAAACTCAGCTAGGGTGGCAGAATTGAATTTAAAAAAATTAAAAGGGTTTGCAGACTATGTCCACTGTGCATAGTCCATTTGAACAAGCTCAATCCTGGATTATTAACATGAGAGTCACTGAATGATCCTATTGCTTCATGTGAACTACAGAGGTGAAAACAGTTTTGGCGCTCTGGATACCTGGTACTGAAGGCTGAGATGAGTAGGCAGGCTTTGGGTGACTTTGTGGGTGAAATCAGGAAGTGGGGATATGTAGAAGTTTTATTCAAGTTATTATGTGGGTTTTGAAATTTGGGACCCCCTGGAAGATACCCCTGCAACTTTGGTATATGAAGCAAGAATAAATATCAGCCACGTGTAGCATAAAATAGAAAGACCAATAATTCAGCTAGTATCTAAGTCACTGAATCTGTTAGTAGAAATAAAGAATAGGCTATAAACCCGATGGGAAAGGTTTTATTGGAAGAAACATTTCTAGCTTTGTGATATATTAGAGAGATCAAGGGCTAGGAATGAATTTGGATTCAAATGCTGGTTCTTCCACTTACCGGATACGTGAATTAAGTAAGCAGCAACATGGGGGTGATGGCAGCATTCTTAGATTCCTGTGGGAATTCAGATCTATACAAGGGCAGGATTGTTGCTCAACACTGTAGTTGTCTCTCTTGAAAAATATGAATACCGAAGACGAACAGCTGTCTCCAAAATTTTTTGAATGTCCTAAATCAGTTTGGGTGTGTGGACATTACATAGCCCACAAAACAAAATTCTAAAGTTAAAAATAACAATAGTAAAATAAGTATATGCTATCCCTCCACAAAGCATTTATTAAAAAAACAAGGCCTTATATATTCAATGTTCTAAATCCTGCCGCCTTGCTTGAGTGTGGGTGGGGGGAAGGGAGGCGGTGGAGCAGTCGAGCCAGAATTGCCCACTTGTAAGAGAAGCAACATAGAAACCTGTTAACTTTTTCTTTTTCTTTCTTTTTTTTGGGGGGGGGAGAGAGAGAGAGTGCACTTGGGGAGGGGGCCAGAGGGAGAGAGAGAATCTTAAGCAGACTCTGGGCTGACCGCACATCTCAACTGGGGCCAGGTGGGGGGTGGCGGGAGAGCTGGGAGGGGGCTCGATCTCACCACTCTGAGATCTTGACCTGAGCTGAAATCAAGAGTCAGGCACTTAACCACCCAGGCACCCTGAAACCCATTAACTTCTTAAATGATACTCCTATCCTATTCTGATAGGCATCTAGAAATGATTCCTTGCTTCAAGACTCATTGGCCTTCAGGTGATTTCTGTGTATTCTGTTGTGGTAGTGGTCTTTAGACATTTCTAAAAATGTTGCATGAAACCAAATTGACAACCCATTCTGGCATCCTTGTATACTGAATATCATGAAAATTTGCATGATGCTCATTTTTGTTCTTCACCACTTTGCTATCTTTGGTGTGAGAACCAACTACTGCTGTATTAGGTACTGAACCTCACATTAGGAAAAAAAATCTTTCTAAAGTCACCATTCCTAAGCTCTCTGAGCTACAGCCTCTGGGGACAGATATTTCAGAGTATTCACAAAGATCACAAGGGACTTGAAATTTCTTAGAAGGTTTATGAATCCAAGGCACAGCGACTCTTCATTTTGCTGAATTACACTGCCCGTCATTTTGTGTGTTTACATTGCTTTTCTAAAATAGTGACGACAAGTCTTCATTAACTTAGATTGTGGGTTTAATTGATATTCATCACCCTAGACTGTTGGACAGGGACTTGGGAGCCTTGGAGCCCATTCTCAGGTCTTCCATTGACTTAGAGTTACTTCAGGCTTGTGGCTTGATCTTTGTGCTTTTAGCCATGTGTAAAATGAGAATATTTATCAATGGGAAATTTATCAGTTTCTCAAAGTGCTTGGGATTGGTGAAGGGTTCTTTCACTTACATATTTCTTCCCTGGGTTATAGAAGTATACAGTGTAGAGTTAATATAATCATCTCTAGAGAAGAATATGTGCGTAGAAAGCAGGCAAAGGATGACATCCCTGGGGCTGGGCCCTGGGTCTGCCTTCTAAGGCAGGGAAAATTCCTGGAGTTGACTGGGCTGGCTGACTTCAGAAGCTCAGATCAGAGCTCTCCTGCTGACTGACTTTGGGCAAGTTACATAATCTGTGTGAGCCTCAGTTCCTTCCCTGTGCAATAAAATGATGGGAATGATAATGATAGTATTTCAGAGGGTTGTTATGGTGAAAATGAGGTAATGATTCATGTAGACATCCAACACAGAACCTGGATGTCACATGCTTTAGGCTATGTAAGGGTCCTTTTTTTTTCCCTCCTAGTTCTAAACAAATTGAGAAAGAAGAAAAAAGAATTGGCAGATGTCAATGCAATTACCACCTTTATTGTTCTTTTTTAAATCTCAGCTTTTATTCAGCTTTGTGGCTGCAAACAAAGAGTTATAGCTTCGTCTGAGTACCAAATGGGTTCACCAAAACTGAATGTCAGAATTGGATAGACTTAATAACAACCAGTCACAGGTTTGGTGGACCTCACGCAGGCTTGTGTTCTTGGTAGGAAGGCTGGCTTCCAAAGAGGAAAGAGGAGCTGAGCAAGACTTTGGAGGTGGGTCTGGACATCAGCATTTTAAAAAAGCTCTGTACTCTGAATGTACATCCAGGTTAGGACCCACAGCTGGAGGCATATTATGTATTTTGCAATGCCTCTGTGCCTTTCCAAATGCCAAGACTGAGCATTCTTCCCTTCTTCACTGGGGGAAAAAAATTCCTACTAATCCTTCAACCCTGAATTTGAGTATGTCCTTCTCTGTGAAATCTTCCCCTTTTCCTTACTTCACACAAGCAGAATTGTCCAATCGCTCCTGCATGTAAGTAACTACTGTACCATAGACTTAGCTATTTCCTAAAACTTAATCTATGTTGAGGCTACTTGACAATTAGACTATGAACATTTTTATAAAAGTCCATACACGATGTATAGAAGATGGTCTGAGAGTATATCCACCAAATTATTAGGGGATCCTAACTCTGAGGAGAAGGGTATGCGCAGAGGAGGATGTTTATTTTTTGTTAATATGTGCTCAGTTTACTCCTACATTGCTTTCATTTTTAAGTGACTCTCTATTATGATTGTAACCTAAAAATAGTTATCTAAAAGAGGAAAAGTATTGTGTTGCCTTTTGCTCTGCATTTCCTTCGGAGGTGACCTCCACAGGTCATCTCAGTCATTACCCCGATTTTGGACAGTGTTTGCATTTCCCTTCTCATTTCCCTTCTGCCCCTGCTCTTTTGTTCTCCTTCTACCCCATTTGCATTTCCCTTCTCATTTCCCTTCTGCCCCTGCTCTTTTGTTCTTCTTCTCCATGTGGTCAGAGGTATGACTGGATGGTGTTGAAAGACAAATTTACTTTCCTCGATCTCAGACTTGTCTTGGTGCCATAAGTAGGTGCAGGTAAAATCTTTTCTAAATACCTCTTTCTTGAGCTGTTGTAAATCTGAACAGATAATAGGTGGAGGAAGACTATTTGTTTTTCTGCTCTTACCCTGTGTATCTTTTCTTCTACAGGTCAACAACGGAATTGAAGTTTTGAAGGATGGGTAAAGACTTTCGTTATTATTTCCAGCATCCCTGGTCTCGCATGATTGTGGCTTACTTGGTGATCTTCTTTAACTTCTTAATATTTGCGGAGGACCCAGTTTCTCATAGCCAAACAGAAGCCAATGTTATTGTTGTTGGAAACTGTTTTTCGTTTGTAACAAATAAATACCCTAGAGAAGTTGGCTGGAGGATTCTGAAGGTGCTTCTATGGCTACTGGCCATTCTCATAGGACTAATAGCTGGCAAATTTCTGTTCCATCAACGTTTGTTTGGTAAGTACCCATGAAATGTAATGTTTATAATTATTGAACTCTGTTCTTTAAGATAGAGCTCTGTTATTTCTAAATGCCAATTTAGGATGCATTTTAATTTGCCCTCCAGCCTTAATTTGCTTCGCACTGTTGGAGCTAGGTTCTTCCACTAGTCTCTGTTCAATGGTGTACTTTTCTATGGCCTAAGGAAAATTATGAGGTAAAATTAGCACTAAACTTATTTTCAAAAAATGGCTTTAGACCTAAAATTAATGTGTGTAATCTTATTTAGAGAAGACATGAAAATAGTTCTTTTCCCTATATTATCATAAAGAGTTTGCCTTCATGTCACACCATATTTTCATTAAAGTAATTTAACCACGGTTCGTATATTTATGTATGTTGTACATTCTGGGAATTAGAGTGGTAACTCTAACTTTTTACCCTCCTTTTTTTTGAACATTGGCTTTAGGATGTTTATTTTGAGCCTATTCAACCACAGAATGATTAGTGCAGAATCTGTTGGTAGTATGCAATAGACAAAGACACTATTAGTTTAAGCTAAAAAGGTAATTTACTAGGATACTGGGATATTTCACAGAGACCAAGGATAGAATTCATTTTGATAATTGGGATAAATGGAACCTGGGACTTGAATTCTATCAGGATCTTCTTTGTCCCAATTTCTCTAACGTATCTGTTTTATTCTCTGTTCACACTGAAGATCAGTTTACATCTGCTCAGAGAGACTGGCTTGACGCTCTTGGTCCCAAAGTTTTGACTCTCAGAGAAGAGACTGATGTTGACCCAGGTTGAGTGTGTTTTCCACCTTTCGCCTAATTGATTTTGTCAGGACATGGGTGATATTTACCCAACAAATATTCATTGATCACTTATTATATGCCAGGAACTATTCTAGAGAGTGAATCAAAAACCAGGCACTAGGGATGCCTGGGTGATTCAGTTGGTTAAGCGACTGCCTTCGGCTCAGGTCATGATCCCGGGGTCTTGGGATCCAGTCTGCACTGGGCTCCTTGCTCAGTGGGGAGCCTGCTTCTCCCTCTGCCTGCTGCTCCCCCTGCTTGTGCTCTCTTTCTCTCTCTCTGACAAATAAATAAATCTTAAAAAAAAAAGTCCTTTAGGCCGCTGCGACCAAGATGGCCGGGAGACTTGCCACCCCCCTCAAGGATGCCTGGGCCAAGGAGCAGGTGCCGGTCATATCCTTCACCATCGGGGGCCTCGCTCTAATTCTGCCCACCCTCAGCCCCTTCACCAAATATGCCACCATGATCAACCAGGCCACGCCCTACAACTATCCAGTGCCCCGCCGAAATGATGGGAACATGCCCGATGTGCCCAGCCACCCCCAGGACCCCCAGGGCCCAAGCTTGGAGTGGCTGAAGAACTTGTGAGCACCCCCAGTGACATGGAGGAGGCCCCTCCCCTGAGCCAATAAAATGCGAAAAGCGACCCCCCCCAAAAAAAGTCCTTTAGGGGCACCTGGGTGGCTCAGTCGGTTAAGCGTCTGCCTTTGGCTCAGGTCATGATCCCAGGGTCCTGGGATCAAGTCCTGCGTTGGGCTCCCCGCTCAGCGGGGAGTCAGCTTTTCCCTCTGCCTCTGCCTGCCACTCTGCCTACTTGTTCTCTCTATTTCTGTGTCAAATAAATAAATAAAATCTTTTTTTTTTTTTAAAGTCCTTTAAAAAAAAAGCAGGGTCTATGACCTCATAACAACTTACATCCTGCAGGAAGGAGAAAGACACTAAACAAATTAATGTATAATATGTAAAGAGGTGGTAAATGCTGGGTGGGGGGTGGGAAAGAAAGTTTTAAATGCTGCTGGGCCAATTAGAAAGATAACTTAGTAATAAAACATTGAATTTAGTAATTATAAGATCATAGGTGACACAGTGTGGGTATTTTCAATCTAGAAGCTTGGTTAGAAACAGATGGCAATGGTTTAAGGAAAAAACAAATTAAAAACATAGATAGACACACATAGTATTACTTATATATTCTTCTCAATCTCTACTCAAACTATGGTCATCTGTTTCTATTACATAAATTTATAAAATGTACATATTTTATATTTTTTATATATATACATAGTTTCAAGAAGTTTGGTGAGGAAATGAAAGGAGATGGGAAGTAGCTAAAAATGTAAGAAGGACCAAGGAAAGATTTTGTTGCTGGTGGTGGTGGTGGTGCTGGTTTTGAGGAATGAGATTAATTTATCCACTTGTCATTTGGGGGAAAGAGCTAGATTGAAATGAAGATAAATACATGGAGAGATCTCTAAAGGCTTCTCTACTTTATTTAATTTAATTTAATTTTTTTAAAGATTTTATTTATTTGAGAGAGAGAGAGAAAGCAGAGAGAGAGCGTGCACACGAGTGGTGGGGAGGGGTAGAGGGAGAGGGAGCAGCAGACTCCCTGCTGAGCAGGGAGCCCGACGCGACAAGGGGCTCCATCCTAGGACCCTGAGATCATGACCTGAGGAGCCAAAGGCAGATGCTTAACCAACTGAGCCGCCCAGGTGCCCCCTCTCTGCCTTATTTATGACTTAGGATACATTTATGACTTAGGATTTTTTTTCAAGGTAATTTATTTTTTATTTTTTATTATTTTTTAAGATTTTATTTATTTGACAGAGAGAGACACAGTGAGAGAGGGAACACAAGCAGGGGGAGTGGGAGAGGGAGAAGCAGGCTCCTGGCTGAGCAGGGATCCTGATGTGGGGCTCGATCCCAGGACCCCGGGATCATGACCTGAGCCGAAGGCAGACGCTTAACGACTGAGCCACCCAGGTGGAAATGGTGGCCTTAGCGAGGACAGGTTGAGAGACCCCGGTTCCTCAGAAATTGTCATGAAAGAGATAAAGGTTTGTATTCTAATAGGTACCTTGGGGTGGAGGAGTAGAGAGGTAAATGGTGATCTGATGATCTGTATTTCACTATGAAGAAGGAAGAGCTAAAGATATATGTGGAAGGATTGGATGATGCAAGGGGTTTAAGAAAGTGGCTAAGGTTTGGAAGAGCAACCCTCTGGAGTGTAAATGCTAGCTGACTAGGGACAAATAAAAGGGTTACTGATGATCACCGAGGGCTGTTGGGGTTAGCCACTATAAATTGAATGACAGCGGTCTGAACTGCTAAGCAGTTTTCTTTATGAGAGCTCAGTCACCTGGAACAGAATTTGAGAGTGATTCATCTGGGTGGGGACTGCCCAGGCTTGCTGTATTGGAAACAAAGGATGGAAAAGAAGTGGAGGGTTCTAATAAAAAAGTTACTGTTTTGATTAAAATGGGGTCTGGCTGGGCATGGAAAGGAGGTAAGGAAGATTGATGGTCTGGGAGGAGCGGGCATGGACTGGAAGATTGGGTGAAACTGCACAGGTGAAATGGAATTAAGAAAAGGGAAAGGATTTATGGATGTGGTGAGATGCCATGTTGTAATGAAGGATAGCCATTCTTCAGTGGTGATTCCCAACTACGGTGTGGCCTTTATGAGTGCCGAAGTAAAGTGCAGAGACAGGTCTTGACAGAGAGGGTATCTAGGAACTGGGTGTTAGTCGGGCCATCCACCAAACACTGAACAAGCATGGTGTTGTGCATGACATTCATAAAGATGCGTGAGGTTAAGGGTGGGGGCTGAGTGGGAGAGGGTCAGTTCCAAAAATGGTTCAGGAGTGCTGGCCGACAAAATGCTAGATGTCTATTATAAGCAATGACTGGATGTGTTTGTGATCCATTCAGGAAATTTGCTCAGTGTAGAAAGGTAAGGCAAACTTTAGACAAAATATCCAGTTTGGAGAAAAGTTATCTACTTATATTGAGATTGAGAATCATATGGTCAAAGTCATGGTATTATTAATAATAAGGGCAGATCATTTGGTTCTGTAATTTCTATACTTAATGTTATTTTATTATAAAATCTTATGTTTTATACTAAAATCACATTTCATTAATGGCTTAGTTTTTAATTCTCCTGTTGGTATAAATAATTCAGCCCTGAAAAAATCACTCTGGATTTCAAGTAGTATGTTGAGTACAAATTATTTTGAGATAGTGCCAAAGTATGTCTTATTTTTTTTGCTTACTATAGGAAAGATTCTATAACACAGTTAGCTTTATCACTTCTATTTGGCAATTTTCTTTTTTTCTTACTAAAAATCTGTAAAATTATATGGGGTATTAGAGAAGGAAATCTTTTGCAAATCTTGGTGATAAGTGGAAAGATAACTGGATTCTGGATTGAATTTTCTAATGAACTCCAAACTTGTCTTCTTCTCTCTCTCTCTTCATCTCCCTTCATGGCCATTATGTCTTCCTTTATTCACAAAATGGTAATCTTTTGCTCCTAGTAGTTCTGTCTTCTTCAGTTAATTCTGGATTTTTGCTACTGGAATAATTTTTCTACATGGCTAGATGGCTTCTGTTACCTACAAAATAAAATCTATACTCCTTTGATTGATATCCAAAGCTCTTGATGATCTACTCCTGCCTGACTTCAAACCTGGTCTCTTAACATGCCACACTTTTAGAATTAGTTGCAGGTCCTCACACCTGCTGGGTTCTCTCATGCCTCTGTCTTTGCATATGCACCCCTCCTTGTGCATCATGCTCAAGCCCCTCCTTGTTAAACTTGGTTGATTTCTCTTTTTTCCTTTACCTCCAAGTTCAAGCATTACCTCCCTTTTGACACTTTTCCTGACTCCCTCCTGTCAGATGTTGTCTTCCCTCCAGCTCCCACTGTGTCTACTTGCAACAAAGAATGTACAGCATGGTGCTTGGGAGCTGACAGCCATACAGCATTATGGAAAAGAATCCAAAATTTAATGCCAGCACAAACATTGTTCTTATTGGCCTGGAATGTGATAAATGTTTCCATCCTTGTTCCTAAATAACCAGCATTAATACATAATTCATTTTTTTAAGAGGCAGTTTGCAGGTGCAAACTTGTGGTGGGTGGTGGTGATGCCACGTGGTGGTGGTGTGTATGTGGGGAGGGGTGGGATTGTTA